CGTGTGGGCGTTATAATGTGACGGTCAATCCCACTATTCGTTGGTAAAACAGTAGCCCAAGAGTTGGCGGTGGGTAGTAATGACTTGTCTTAAACTGCTAAATTGGGGACGGCTTCCTTTAGTACGAAATATCGTAAAGTCCAAAACTTATTTTGTTTCAGTATTAGACAAAAAGGTATATATATATATAGCAGTTTTTCCGTGACATCGAACATAAAAGTACCGAAATGCAGGTCTACAGAACTGAAGTGTGTTACTAAATGACAACTTGTATACCAAGATAAAATCGATGGGTTTTACAGAGATGCCACAATACCGGTAATTTGCTACTTCCGGCATGTTTTCTAGGTAGGCCGTTATTTGCAGTCTATATTATAGATACTCTTGCCATTCATCGAGTCTGGGTAATAGAGATTATTTTATCGGCGTCTGATACAGATGTTTATATGTCAGCATTGCAAGGGCTGGTTTAGGTGGCACTTTTAGAACAATAATAAAAAAATGACAAAACACGAGTATTCCATTGATATCCGAGAGAGAGTCTGAATATGTGTAAAATCATGAAATGTAATTTTAAATTATTATAAGGAGAATATGACTCTTTGAATATCCCGAAATTACCACTTTTTGTTTTTGTTTTCGTGTGGATGTTATTTAAAATAAAATTACTTCATGCATCTTTTTTTTTCTAAAACTTAAAATTCTGGCGAACACGTGCAAAAAAAGAAAATGAGAGAGAGAGAGAGTGAAAGAAAGAAAAGACAGGAGATCTATATCAACACACTCAAAATGCTTAAAATTATAACACCTATTTTTTTTTTCGTTTTGCCATCAAACAGAGAGACGAAACAGAAATTCCTGTTTATTGATTTTACATTACACTGGTGTAAGAAGTTTAGGTAATAAACAGAACATAAAGAGAAAATGGAATAAATGTACAGTATCATCTTAGTGATCCTTAGTTTTAAAGTTCATAATCTCATACCATGAAAAACGGTTTGTATGCTATTTTAATGTATGTTGGCCATATAATGCTATGGCGATTCAGGAGCGTTTATTTGGAATCTGACCAAACTTTGGCACAGACAGAAATGAATAGCAACACATAAATTTTTTTTTCTTTGACTATGTTATCTTTAATGTATATTTTAAGAAGTAGGTTTACTCTATGTTACTAAGAAGTGTCATTGGCCAGTGATTCACGATAAAAACTTTAATTAAAAGCTCGTATAAATACAGTGACGTAAGCTACTCTGTATGCACGTAAGCGTTTGTCTATATCAATTTAAATAGTTCGATCCAAGTCCTGCCCAGTTCAGTTGGAAGATGGTAACTATTTTAATAAGTAAGCTTCGGTATCAAAGTCGATGACATACCAACCTTACAACCGCCAGATTTAGCTAGGTTGGCTTCGTATTTCTCCCAAATGGAAAGTAGTTGGAATTTAGCCATATATTTCTGGCAGTGCTTCACCGAAGAAAATGGTCTCTTGCATGGTATTGTAGCATCTCTACTATAAACCATTAACAATGAAGAAAATATCAGGTTTTAGAATTTACTGTATGTCGTAATTCTTGTTTTCTGGTATTCTTTAGCAATGTTACTAACTTTCAGAAAGTTGAGGTCGTTTCTAAGAAGTTTCCCCTCCCTCACAGTCCTGTTCTTTTTTTTAGTTGTTCGGAATTCTGTTCATGCGGTATTTTGAAATAATTTTCTCGAGAAACACTGTTTGAATACACTCCCAGATAAAACGATAAGTCATGTTTGATTGCTTAGTTGAACATTTTACCGTAAATGTACGAGTGATTTGGTATATGTTTATTTGAATAAAATGAATAGTTTTTAATCACAGCTTTTGTATTTAATATCAGAACTAAATTAACATATTTCTCAACAAATGATATTGCATGCCCAGTTTCTAAGTTAAAAGTATATTGAGAAATTCACTTGTATTTATAACAGATTTTTAAAATATAGTCTCTCCTCCCCCACCCCGGCGGCAAGTCTACAGCTTACGAAGCTAAACTTAGGGTTTCGATTCGATACCCGTGGTGGGCAGAGCACAGATGGCTTCTTGTGTAGCTTTGCGCTTAACAACAACCAAAACAAACCCTGTATGAGCGCCAGAAGGGCAGCAAAATTGGGGGAGGGGGCAACCATGTGGGAGCTCTCACCATAATTTATTTGTTTCTGTAGCTCATGTAATACTTCTTTGAAATGTTATCAACCGAATAAAATCGACAATACTGTATTGTGGTCATACATTATATATAAATTTATTTTGTCATTGTTTGTAAACATAACCACCCCTTTTTAACTAATGTAGCCCAATTACAGTTTTGAACCAAATGGGGGTTACTTGTATATTGTTTGGAAAGAATAAATTTTACCCGAGCCCAGGTGAGTAAAATTGGGTGTATTGGCGAAGTTCTTTTTAGTTCTTGAGACAATGTTTTGGTCTCTATGTATTATCGTACGTATTTTATGTTTAACTAATCTGCACTGTTAAAATAGAAGAAACTTGCGTTAATTCGAAGTCTTATTGAAAATCAAATTTATTTGTTTCAAGGCTTCAAAGTGAGTTTTTTTCGTTACTTTAAATCCAAGGTTGAAACTGGAATAGCAGCAGTAGTGTGTAAAACGCAGCAATCCTAACACAATGGTATTTAGGCATGATAGTGGCTTCTGCAGTATAGGTATAAACTTTTGGAACAACAGCAGTGATGATGAAAGAGACTTGTATTTTCTCAGGTTTAGTTTAAAAAAAAATGTGCCAAGAAAAGGTTTTAATTAGCTATTTCCAGTAGCAATATTTGTCCTATTATATGGTACTTATTCTCAATTAGCCTTATCAATGTTTGTTTGGGTGTGTTAACTTTTGAAAAATAGAAAATTAATGTATTAATATCACCATTTCTTCCAAGCCTTCCAGCACATATATATATATATATAAAGTTACAGCATGAATAAAAAAAAAAGAAACCAGTCAATGGAAGCTGTTTGAAATCTCGAACCGACCAGGAAAAGAACTCGGAGGCACTCGGCTCTTCTTCGGTGAGTGACAATTTCTGGAAGTACTTCAGAGAAAACTGATGTTATCAACAATACAAAAATATCCTGTGACACTAGAAAAAGGAGGGAGAGAAAGAGATTAGAGGGGGAGGGGAAACAGCTAATCCCCGAGTCTATTAAGATTGGTAACATGTTACAGCTGGAGGTGGGAGGTTACTCCAAATGTTTTTGGGATATCTTATTCATTCATGATGACGTCTAAAAAAAATGGGGGGGGGGTAAGCTTTCTTCTGTTTAAACTATTTTTGAAATGTAGTAAGAAATAAGATATAAAATTTCAAATTAAATTGATTTTTTTAAGCACCAGTTAACCTTGCTCTGACTTGACCTTACTATTTAACTAGGTTATGTTCATAGCTACCTCACAATGCTTACTAGTTTTGGGTAGCTTGACAGCATAGATAATATGACATAAGGAAAACTTAATATTTTGCGTCACAATGACTTTATGGTAGTTAACAAATATATAAATTTGAATGCGTTATTTATATCATTTTAAAAGTTTGCAGAATTAAGACTATTTTTATACGTTATAATAATAATAGTAATGAATTATTTCTATTGAGATTTTAAGGCTACACTAAACACATTGCCTTCATTTTTACAGGTTAGATATATGATCTATTTAACATTTATAAAGTTGGAATATCGTCACATTTGTGGTAAACTGGTGGACGGAATCGCACGAGGGCTTAATTTTTAGAATTTTAGCACAAATCTACACAAAGACTATTTGCGCATATCTGTCCCTAATATCCAACTGACAGTTTAGAGAGAAGGCACATAGTCAATACAATTTGCCGCAATCCCTTGTCTAACCAAATAATGGACTTTGACGGTCACTCTTATAGCACACCCATGGCTCCAAAGTGCGGAATGTGTTTTTGTGGCAAGATAATACGAACCAAGGCCCTCGTATTCATGGTACAGGTACGCTAACAACTAGGCCACTCCCGTACCATTACACGAAAAAAGCTCATTTCAGTATACGAGGGCTGGCATGGTCAGGTGTTTAGGGCGCTCGACTCTCAATCTGTGCGTCGCTAGTTCGAGTCCCCGTCACACCAATATGCTCGCTTATTTAGCCATGGGGGCGTTATAATGTGACGGTCAATCCCACTATTCGTTGGTAAAAGAGTAGCCCAAGAGTTGGCGGTGGGTGGTTATGACTAGCTGCATTCCCTCTAGTCTTACACTGCTAAATTAGGGACGGCTAGCGCAGATAGCTTTGCGCGAAATCCATAACAAACAAACAAACATTCAGTATATAACGTGAAAACGGAATAACATGAAAGTGTAATAATATTAATGATAATAGTTCAAAATCGGTCCACTGCCACAATTCAGTTTCATATCATGACACAAGCGTTACAAATGAGTACTACGTGGTATTTGTTATGACTTGGAGTTGTTGAGTCATATTCGTTCAAGAATCTTGTAAAGATACACACATTTTATTGATATGTTTTAATTGGAACTTGGGAAAGTTTTTTTTATCTATATTTAGACACCATCATTTATAACTTACAACGGTACATAATGCCATCTTATGTTATGTTTACATCAATTGCACAAAGGGGGATAATGTCACCTTATGCTATGTTTACATCAATTGCACAACGACGGATAATGCTATCTTATGTTATGTTTACATCAATTGCACAAAGGGGGATAATGTCACCTTATGCTATGTTTACATCAATTGCACAACGGCACATAATGCCATCTTATGCTATGTTTACATCAATTGCACAAAGGGGGATAATGCCATCTTATGCTATGTTTACATCAATTGCACAAAGGGGGATAATGTCACCTTATGCTATGTTTACATCAATTGCACAACGACGGATAATGCTATCTTATGTTATGTTTACATCAATTGCTCGGGTAATGAGTACACGTGGAGGAATGTGTAAAATGGTGTAGGGAGGTAAGTGCCAGCGCGAGATTTTTATTTGTGTGGCAACCGATTCCAATCTACCTTCGTCCAACCAATAACAGAGCGCCGCTAATCATGTGCTCTAAATAAAATTTTATCTCAGTTACGGTGACTCTTAAGAACTAGCGTGTTTGAAGGTAACAACTATTTCTAGGATGAATGCTACAAGCGTGTTTGAAGGTAACAACTATTTCTAGGATGAATGCTACAAGCGTGTTTGAAGGTAACAACTATTTCTAGGACTAATGTCTTCAAGCGTGTTTGAAGGTAACAACTATTTCTAGGGCTTATGTCTACTAAGTACGTTATTTTATTTCTCTCTTCAGTAATAACACAATTAGAAATATCACTTTTTAAAATCTTTAATTTTATTCAACACAAAACTTTGAACCAACACTAAATCTTTCATGATCGTGTTAGTAAAACTAATTGAACGATATAAATATCATGAACAAGTTCGAGACATTTGCTTTCTGCCTCGAATTTTCAACATTTCGGTTAGAGTTAAAATTCACGACAATTACACACAAAAATAACAACAACAAAAAGCGGTTTAACATAATTCAAGAAATGTTTGTCCCAATACATTTCCAATAGAAGTTCAAGCGCAAGAGATATTGTACACTTAATAAAATCACGTGTTTTATATGTAAAAAAATGGGGCCCTAGTATTTTAATACTCAATACCACAAAATAATGCAGAATTTTTGGAAAAAACAGTGGTATTTTTGAAAAGTGCCCTCTTGTGTTTGATTGCTGCATAAGCTCTACTTTTGTATAAGCGTACTTCTAATAAACTGCTCATAGGGATTATTTTTATGCGTGTGCATATATATAAACACGATTTGGTTAAAGCTATATTTCTTTATTTTTTATTGCCAAGTTTAAATATCACACATCCAATTTGTAAGTTATTTTGGACAGCTTGGCTACAATACAAGATCAACGCAGTAGAATATGACAAAATAAGTAACCGTTTTCTATATTTAAAACCAAAATACATCAACCTACATTTCAATACAAACGAGCCATGATAACTGTAACAAAAAACAAACTATTTTCTTGTTCTGTTTGCTGTAAATATGGATTACAGAAGACCTACACAGATTTACTTGTAATGCAATGTACAGTGAGTTCATTTAATGATTATATAAACATGTTAAAGGTTTCTTTTCCTCTTCACCAGAGGTGAAATTAAAAAGAGAATCTGTGACGTAGAGGCCTAACGCATTCCTTGATTGGCCGTACCCTCTGCTGTAGACTATATGCTGAAATAAAACGGACTCAAACCCTATAGATAATAATTTCAATTTATTTATGTAAGTTCATTGTACTAGTTGATCGTGTGGTCGGCTCCGAATTGCTTAAAAATAGTATGTGTGTGAATAAAAAAACATTGTATTTAAATTATATGTATGTAATATGGCTGGGGGGGGGGGGTAGTTTTAACCTTTAATTTTAATTACAAAAAACGTTGATTTCTTTGCTTTTTGTCATTGAGAATTTAAATCTTTGATCATTACTGAAATAAACTAATAGATTTCAAATAAGGCCTGCTTCATTATTCAGATTATTAAACTCGGTAAATCAGTCTCCTTACATGTACACCTCTGTACCAGCTGACTATAAGGAAGACCACGTACATCCATCCATCCTTGTATTGGTGAACTACTTTACAGGTTTAACGAAATACCGGTGAATTGCTTCAGGAACTGAGCAGACTTCATAAGGTCACTCCTTTTCTAAACCCTTTTTTATTACTCCAGCCAAATCAAAGTTTATAAGAACGTCTTTTTTTTTTGTTGCCATTAACATGGACAACTCCAAGTATTCGTGGCATGCCCTACACCTCAGTCGATTTATAATAAACTTCAAGGTGTAAAAGCTTATTTCACAGGCAACTTGTGTGAAAGAGTGAGTTGATAAAAACTTGTAGGCCAGGCAAAAAAAAATTGTAATGCCACAAAAATTGATGGCAACAAACATTGAAGTTCATACATGTCAAGCATGGCTTATTCACCAGTTTCATTTCTGTGTCTTCATCACGCTCCTTTCTCTTGTCTTCTCTAAATGGTCCTTTTTCCATCTTGACCACGTATCCTTCTAGAACTAATCTCGTTAGCTTGTCCCAGTGCAAAATTAAGCTTATCAATTTACATCATAAATTTTCCACTGTTGCTCTCCCATCAAACTTAAGCTAGTTTTTTTATTCTTAAATCTTCTAGTGCCAGTGTCTGAAGCCAATGGTTTATTATGTCCTAAAAATATTTAGAATTCAGACCAACAAGGCCAGCAAAGTTTTCCATAGCAGAGAAAACGACGATGTATACTGTCGTTAGTTGTATCAACGATTGCGTTGTGGACTTGAATTCTATACGTTGTAAGAGTATCAGATTATTGTTCATCGTGAGCGGACTGGTTTTCTTCTTCCATATCCTGTTTTCAGGTAGAGTTACCTGCACTTCAATTTCATAATATTTCAATTATTGCAGCTTATCATTTGCTTACTCTACAAGATTATCTGCAGCTTTCTTAATTATGTCAAACGTTCTGAGCTCCTCCTGTGTTCCAGCTACCGTTTGATGAACTTCTTTTTTTTTTTAAAGAAATCCATTCTGTTACTTTGGAGGTATTTTTACAACGGTGAAGTTAATTCAAATATGTGCGTGGAAATTTTAACTGTTACATATTTATAAACTTTCATCTTTACGCGCACGTCGGTTGTAGATCTGTGGTTGTCTTGAATCCTTTTACAATGCCTTTTACTAATTCGAGTACTTTCTGCCTTTTTTTGCACTTGTTCCCAGCATCTGGACATTTGATTATGAAATAGTAAATTATCGATACCCACACTACTAATCTAAGTAACCTTCAAAACGTAAACTTCTCTACAGCCTCTGTGCATGAAGTTTTTTATTTAATGTTCTTCAATCCTTTGAATGTCTCCAGTCTTTCATTCCTTCAGTGAACGTTATTTTTACAGAACTCTTAGGAAATGTAAGGCAGACTGAGCATTTTGTTCCACGAAGTAGGTCAGACA